CGAGCATGAGAGGGCATGTGCACAAGCCGGGCAGGAGAAAGGGAGAGAATCCCAAGCAGGCTCCACACCAGTGCCCTGGAGCTTGACGTGGGCTCAATCTCACAAGCCATGAAATCATGACCTGAGCTGAAACCAAGAGTCAGACGCTCAACTGACCGAGCCACCCAGGTGCCCCATTTCCCCCCAATTCTATATGCATGATCACTGCTTCCCCATCCCCTCACTTTCAATCCGCATGCATCTTTCAATCTGAAATGAGTCTCTTGTAGGCAGTATACAGATGGCTCTTGTTTTTTTTGTCTGTTCCGTCACTGAATGTGACAGAGCATTTAGTCCACTTACATTCTAAGTAATTAGTGGTAGCTGTGTATGCGTTGCCATTTCGTTAACTTGTTTTATGATTTTTGTAGTTCTCTGATTTTTTTCTTACTCTCTTCTCTCACAGTTTGCTGGCTTTTAGATATGCTTGGCTTCCTTTCTTTTTGTTTTTTGCATATCTATGACCAGTTTTTGATGTGTGTGTGCCATTAGAGTCGTATGTAACATCTTCTGCATATAGCAGTCTATATGAAGTTGATGGTTACCTAAGTTTGAACCCATTCTTTCTTCTTCTCCCCGCTAGCACCCCACATTTTAGGTAGATGGTGTCATACTTTACATCCTTTTATTTAGTGAGTCCCTTGACTGATTTTCATAGATATAGTTTTTACTGCTTTTGTGGTTCCTACTTTTCTTACTCCTGCTTATGGTCTTTCCTTTCCACTTAAAACATCCCCTTTAACATTTCGTATAGGGCTGGCTTGGTGGTCCACCCCCATCAACCTTCAGTTTGTTCTCTGTATTTAAGAGTCTCTGATGGTTTGCCTCCCTCTCTGTTGGTAACTATTTTTTTCTTTCCCTTCCCCCATGGTCTTCTGTTAAGTTTCTCAACTTCCACATGTGAGTGAAATCATATGATATTTGTCTTTCTCTGACTGACTTATTTCACTTAGCATAACACCCTCCAGTTCCATTCATGATGTTGCAAACGGCAAGATTTAATTCTTTTTCATTGCCTAGTGGTAGTCCATTGTATGTATATACCACATCTTCTTCTTTTTTTTTAATGTTTACTTATTTTTGAGAGGTATAGAGACAGTGCACGAGCAGGGAACGGGCAGAGAGAGAGGGAGACACAGAATCCGAAGCAGGCTCCAGGCTTCGAGCTGTCAGCACAGAGCCTGACATGGGGCTTGAACTCATGATCCACGTGATCATGACCTGAGCCGAAGTTGGTTGCTCAACCGACTGAGCCACCCAGGGGCCCCGATACCACATCATTCATTAGTTGATGGACATTTGGGCTCTTTCCATAATTTGGCTATTGTTGATAGCGCTGCTATAAACATTGGGGTGCATGATCCCCTGTGAATCAGCATTCCTGTATCCTTTGGATAGATTCCTAGTGGTGCTATCGTTGGGTTGTAGGGTAATTGTATTTTTAATTTTTTGAGGAACCTCCACACTGTTTTCCAGAGTGACTGCACCAGTTTGCATGCCCACCAACAATGCAAGAGGGTTCCATTTTCTCCACATCCTCATCACCATCTGTTGTTTCCTGAGTTGTTAACTTTAGCCACTCTGACTGGTGTGAGGTGGTATCTCAATGTGGTTTTGATTTGTATTTCCCTGATGATGAGTGATGTTGAGCATCTTTTCATGTGTCTGTTGGCCACTTGTATTTTTCTCTCTCCTGTTCAGCTTGATTGCTTTCCATAATTCTGTCCTCCAGGTCACTGATCCATTCTTCTGCTTCCTCTAGTCTACTATTAATTCCCTCTAATGTATTTTTAATTCCATTTATTTGAGTTTTTTTTTAATCTCTGATGGATTCTTTTTTGTTTTCTGTCTCTTTGTTGAGGGGGTCACTGGGGTCCTCCAATCTTTTGTCAAGTCCAATGAGTATCTTTATGACCATTACTTTGAATTCTCTATCAGACATATTATCTCTATTTTGTGTAGCTCCCTTGCTGTGATTTTGTCCTCCTGTTCTTTCACTTGGGACATATTCCTCTGTTTCCTCATTTTGTCTAACTCTCTGTGTCTGTTTCTTTGTGTTAGGAAAGTCAGCTGTGTCTCCTGTTCTTGAAAGTAGCAAACTTATGAAGAAGAGGTCCTGTTGTGCCCTGCACTGCAATATCCCCTGTTCACCAGAAGCTGGCACTTCAGGGGTGTCCCCTATGTGTGTTGTGTGCACCCTACTGTTGTGGCTGAGCCATGTTTGCCTTCAGTCCAGTCACCTGCAATGGCCCTCTTTGCCTGTTGTGGGTAGGGTTTGGTCTCTGTGTTGTTAGTGGGTCAGTCTGGGGCTGCCTTCAGCTTGAGTTGAGTCAGTCCAGGCGTTTGCAAGAACTGTGGTAGCACTGAATCGCTGGGTATTTTCCCTGTGTCATCCCCTGAAAACTTTCATCAGTGGGTGGGGCCTGCTGTCAGATCAGATGTCTGCCCTCAGTCCACTGCTGGGACCGCTGATGGACTGGTATGTGTGGTTATCTTCCCCTCTCCCTGGGGCAGGAGTCACCTTGGAGTGGTACTGGCACCCTGCTAGGCTGTGGCACTGCTTTGGATTGTCTCCTGCCAAGGGCGTGTTGGAGGGAGTGTGTCTATAGGAGAATGTGATGTGGGGTGCCCAATGCCGGCAAGGGCTGTGCTCATCACTGCAGGAGGATGAGCTGTGGCTGCCTGGGAAAACTGCTGAGGCCAGCTGGGATAGAGGGGGCGTGTCCATAGGAGAATGCAGGGGTGAATGCAGGGGTTTGCACCTAGTTTGCAAACTAGGTGGAGAGTGTTCTCAATGAGCTGGTTCCTGCAGGTGTCTGTATATCTAGGCTGGGGGGTAGGAGAGGCAGGCGGCACCTGCCAGCCCTTTTGTTCCTGGAGAAGTCTCCCAAAGATCCCTGCCCCTCCAGCACACACTCTGAGATTAGTAAGTACGTCTCCTTTTCATATACCCTAGGTGTTTTTTAAGCTGCTCCTTCTGTGCTGTATCTCCCTGGCTGTTTGTTATGCCATCTCTTTAAGAGCAAAGACTCAGTTTCCTATTACCCTCTGGCTCTCCCAGAGCTGAGCCACTGATTTTTAAAGTTCTATTAAGCTCTACTGCTTGCAAGAACCAACAAAGTTAGGCCCCTCTAGTTTTCAAAGCCAAATGTATGAGGATGATTCATTTTCCCAGTGGGGATCCCCTATGCCTGGGGTGCCTGGTGTGGGGTCTGCTCCTCTCCCTGCCCTGCACCTGTGGCATCCCTTCCTCCCATAGACAGTATTGCAGGTCAGTTTGGCTCCTGACTGGCTGTCCACCCTTCCTACCCTCTTCAAGGTGACCTTTTCTCTGCATTTAGCTGTGGTGAGTCTGTTCTGCCAGGCTTTGGGTCATTTTCTGGTTTATTTACTCTGATGTGGGTGTTCTCTAGGTGTATCCATGGGACGAGGTGAGCCCAGGATCCTCCTACTCTCATCACCTTCCCCAGAAGTCTCCCAAGTCTCTTTCTCTGTTTGTTACTGTTCAGGGTGTCCTTACATATACTAAATATTGACCTCTAGTTGGTTTTAGACCGAATAAATGCCCTATCTTAATCCATCATCTATCTTCAATGAGATATGGTGTCCTTCACTGAACAGTCATAAATTGGATGTACTTAAGCCCAACACATCTCCCTTCTTCAAGTTTGTGGGTTTTGAGTCTTATGTAATTTTTAAAAAATGTTTATTTTTGAGAGAGAGAGAGAGAGAGAGAGAGAGAGAGAGAGAGAGAATGAGTGGGGGAGGGGCAGAGAGAGAGGGAGACACGGAATCCGAAGCAGGCTCCAGGCTCTGAGCTGTCGGCACAGAGCCTGACGCGGGGCTCGAACTCACGGACCGTGAGATCATGACTTGAGCCGAAGTCAGATGCTTAACCGACTGAGCCACCCAGGCGCCCCGAGTTTTGTTTTAAAACATATGCTTCGGGGTGCCGGGTGGCTCAGTCGGTTAAGCGTCCGACTTTGGCTCAGGTCATGATCTCACAGTCCGTGAGTTCGAGCCCCGCGTCGGGCTCTGTGCCGACAGCTCAGAGCCTAGAGCCTGCTTCGGATTCCTTGTCTCCCTCTCTCTCTGCCCCTCCCCCACTCATGCTCTGTCTCTTTCACTCTCAAAAATGAATAAATGTTAAAAAAAATTTTTAAAAACCATATGCTTCATCTTAAGTCAAAGTCATGATCCTACATGTTTTTAATGAGCTTTACCTTTTTAACTTTTCACATTGAGGGTTTTAATTCCTCTGAGGTTTTGTTATGGCAGGCAGGACCCAAGTTCATTTTTCTTCATCAGTTTTCCCACCATTACAAGAGACCACCTTTCCCAGAACTTTCTGGAACATGTGCCACATCTCCTCACATGCAGACATCAGGTTGGCTCTCCATTGCATGATTGGTCAATTTTCCTATTTTTATGTCAGTGCCAGTTTCTGTAATCACAGCTTTGAAATATATCTAACTCTCTGCTAGGTCAAATCTACCACCAGCCGGACTCTCCAATTTGCTCTTTTTTCTCAGACCTGTCATGGAATTCATGGCCCAGTGTCCTTCCATATCAACTTTAGAATGCTTTGCACAACAAGGTGGGGGCTGGTTTGCATTTCAAACCGCTCACTCTGCAAGCAGGAGTATAGGAAGGAAGGTGGTCAAGGGCAACACCTTGGAGGCCTCCCACGAGTTAAGGAAGGACAGAGGTAGAGGACCCGGGGTTTCTGGTCAGAGAGGTCGCAGGAGAAGGGAGAGAGGCCAGTGTGGTCCTGAGCCAGGGCCCCGGTGCCGAGCTTCTGTGCCACAGAGCAGGCTCATAGCCATGTGACCAGGGACAGCACTTGCCTAACGCAGCTCATGCTAAGCCTATGGCCCAGGAAGGTGTGAATTTCGGCAGGGCCTGCAGCGAGGCTCTCCCTTCCTGCCGCCTCCCTCACGTCTCCCCCCTCCCCTCCACAGGCTAACTCTGGCAGCCCCCTCGTGTGTCAGGTGAACAACTCCTGGATCCAGGTGGGGGTGGTGAGCTGGAGCTTTCGCTGCAACCGGCGACGCTTCCCAAGCATCTATACCAGCACCCCCCACTTCACCTACTGGATCCAGAAGCAGATCAGTGACATGAGGTTCATCAGCAGGGCCAGCGCTGCCTTCCTGAGCCCGGTCACTGGCCACATCCTGCTGGTGTCCTTGGGCTCCATGTGGCTCCTGTGAGCGGTGTTTCCAGGGCAGGCCCGCCCGGAGGCCACTTCTTCCTCCCTCCGTCTGCCCTCAGGAGAAGTGGAGACCCAGGGGACACGTGACATCAGGGCAGAGCGCCCTTGGGGGAGGGTCCAAGAGCTGCTGTGTTCAGAGTTGTTCAATGAAGATGCTCTTGAGTTTTGCGCCACAGAAATCATCATCTTTCTTCTTGACTGTGGCCAGAACCCTCCGGAGCCTCCGCAGCCCCGGGGGGCCTGTCTGTCCTCTCAAGGGGAGCCTTTCCTGAGGGGCTTACTTGTGCTTTGTGCTGGCCATGTTTCCCTCCTCGGGGCTGCGCTCTCCCCTTCTGCCAACTTTGGGGTGGGACTCTGTGACCCCTAAACCCTGCTTAATCCTGTCACCACCTCAGCAACTCCCCGGGTCCCCATGGCCCTCCCTGGGGCCTCTGACGAGAGTTTCCCTCGGGCCTTCCTAAGAGAATTTGGCCTCTTCCCAAGAAACTCACAATGACCAGATCTGCATTTATGGACTTTGTTCCAGAACCTGTGAGCCTCTCCCAACCCTTCAGATCCCCCTAAGGGTTGGCCCATAGAAGTTGACTGCTCCTCCTCCTCCTTCCCTGGCAGAGGTGGATGGTGACGAAGGTAGAGTACTGGTTGATGAATTGCGGTATGTGTGACTGCTTCCTCTGAGCTCCCAAGTCACCAGTGACCTCCATCAACGCCTCCCTCCAGGAGCTGTAGGAGCCCTGCCCTCCCAAGGGTAGGCTGGGGTCGCCCACCCGGTGGCCTTAGGTTCATTCTTTTTGCTCCTTGGGCTAAAAAAGCTGCAGAAGGGTGTGATTTGCTGTCTTCAGAGAGATTGGGGCACCGGGACCCAGCAGCCTGAGTGTCCCCAAGACAAATGTGGTCCTGGCAAAGTTAGAATGTTCCTGACTTGCTTTCACCAAGTCACCCAGAATTTCCCCAACAGTTTTGGCCCCCATAGGACTTTTCATCAATGAAACACACTTTTAACAGTTATCTGTCTGTGTCACGGAGTCAAAATGTTCCCCAAAATTCCAACCCACTCGTTTTGCCTTCTGCTCCCAGAGGCTCTGCTGGTTACTACTTTTCTTCTGAGGAGAGACCTCCTCTGCCGCCTTTCCGCCGATGGATCTATAAGAGAAGAGCATTTTATTGAATGGTCGGGGCTGGGGAGGAGAGGGGATTGCTTAAAAATTTTAATTCTCAAAAAGAATCATTCCTGAAAAACCTTCCATCTGATCAATTAGAGGCCCTGGGCAAAGCCCTACAGTAGTCAGCAGGCAGGCTAAGGGCAGGCATGGTTAACATCACTGAAGACTTGAGGCCAGCCCCAAGGCCGGTCTCATGTGTCACCAGGGGAAGGTGGGAAGCAGTATGTCTAGCAGGCAAGTACGTGCAGGAGGGAGGAGGGTGCGTGCAGGAACTGCCATGGTAGCCCGGTCAGGGACCTGGTGAGCGCTGGTTGTCCTCAGCGGCAATACAGCTTCCTGGGGCCCTGACACAGTGCGGTGGAAGGAGGCCAATCATAGGGGCTGCTGGTCGGGCGACGTGGGAGCGCCAATCCCAGGGTGGCCACTGGGGGCGCCTCTGCATTCCCCACGCAGCAGACGCCTGCGCGCCGAGGTCGACTGGGGGGCTGTCGAGGGGGCGTCGTCATGAGCACCACAAGAGAGGCTACACCCGATGGAGGATGGTCAGTGGCAGGAAGCTGGCCTCAAGAGGCAGGCCCCCAGGGCCGCAGGGCCTCTGCCGTTGTGCTGCTGCTGCTGCTGGTGCTGCTGCTGCTGAGGCCCGCTGGTAAGCCCACCCTTCCGCTTCCCCTCGTCCTCTCCCCGCTGGCTCCCTCCCACCGGCCTCTTCGCTTTGACCCCCTCTGTGTCCTTCCGCAGGCCGCCTGGCGGACCAGACTGCCGGGACACCCTCCAAGCTCACCCGCCGGCATTCTTACGCCCCTGTGCACCACCACCTGCCCCTTGTATGGCTCGCCAGCCAGCTAGGGGTCTCTGTCTGTCTCTGTCACGTCACTTGACCCCTCCAGACAGCCCCCATTTCTAAAGAAGGCATCAGCTTATTTCCCAGTGAGTACCATGGACTCCCCGGGGGAGGAGGATGCGGGGCAGTCTTGAGGACCTCTGACCCCTAGGGACGGAGGGCGCGGAGGAGGAAGGGCAGGGAGAAGTGAGAAGAGACGTTCCTTTTCCAAGGGTTCATTGAGCATCTACCGTCGGCCAGGCCCCCATCCTGGTGAGGTAGGAGGCCAGGAAAATTGGCGGAGCCTGCGGCGGGCTGCATGTCCCTGCGTCTCTGAACTGACCCAGGCTTCCAGCCAAGGACTTAGGGGATCTCCAGGATAGGTTTCAGGGAGCCTTGGGGTGGGAGCCTTGCAGCAGTGGCCCTCCAGCATGTTGAACAGAGACCCGCGGAATCACTCCTTATCCTGGAACTCCATGGAACTCCATGCGCACAGTTTAGCTGCCACAGAAAGGCTCTCACACAGGACCCAGTGCGTGCAGACCTCCCCTCTCCTATGTTAGCCTTGGCAAACGCTGGTCCTGGCCCATGCACCCTCATCTCACAATCCACGAATCTCCCTGGAAAAACCCTGGAGGGGGGCTGCTGTGAGGTCGGAGATGTGCATCTTCAGTTTGAAAACTTTTTCCAAAGTGGCTGCACGCGCTGACACTCGCTCCAGCGGGGAGTGAGCGGTCGGGGGCGGTAATCCTCACCAATACATGGTGTCAGGGACCCTGGAGTTGGCCTGGCAGGTGGGGTGGAGCGGAACCTCACTGTGATGCAAGTCTGCATTTCCCTGAGGACTCACAGGGCTGAACAGCTTCTGTGTTGGCTGGCTGCTGGGGTTCCCTCCTCGGGATGTGTCTGTTCATGCACGTGGCACCTTTTTCTCTTGGGTCGTCTGGTTTGTTTTCCTCACTGACTCACGGGAGGGGTTCCCAGAGGAGGGAGAGGGGTCTGCTTTGGCCAAAGTAGGGGGAACCAGATGGAAACATGGATGAGTTTCTGGAGGTTCTGGCCAGAGCTCAGGGGCTTCTCGGCCAGGACAAAGGGGCCAGTGCTGCACCAGGCTGGTGGCTGGGAATGCCCTGGGGCCTGGGACCAGAGAGAGGGATTACTTGGGGAGCACTGAGGCCCTTTGGAGACTGCAGACCTCAGTCCTCACGTGCACAGCATCATAACAGGGTGACCAGTGGGGAAAGAGAATCACCGCATGAGCGTGGGCCAGCAGCCCGAGAGGCGGGAAATCGGGCTGAGGGGAGGGTTGGGAAGGCGACTTGCGATGGGGCTGGAAGGTCCCATCCTGCATCAAACTCTCACCTTCCTCCTCAGCCTGCGGCTCCTCCTTCGAGGAAGACCCCACCCTCAGGGACCCAGAGGCCATGGCTCGACGGTGGCCGTGGATGGTCAGTGTGCGGGCCAATGGCACACATATCTGTGCAGGCACCCTCATTGCCTCCCAGTGGGTGCTGACCGTGGCCCACTGCCTGATCCGGTGAGTCGGGACCTAGGTTGGTGGGTAGAAAGGCGTCTGGAGCCACTGGGGCCCAGTCATTCCTGGCAGCTGGTCCCTCGGCAGCAACTGTGGCCTCTGCAGAACCCCATGGGCCCAGCCTCAGTCCCACTTCAGCTCTTAGCAGGTGGAGGCTGAGTCCTGCAGATTCCTTCTGGATTCAAGCCGGGTGCTTGCTCCCCTCACCTGGCTCCCCTGTCCTGAGCAGTCATGCCACAGATAGGACGGGGGTGGGGGGGGGACTTGGAAGCCACAGGGCAGGCCTCCTTCCTCCTGTCCACAGAAAAGAGCTCCCAATTCTTTTGTTTCACACCCTTTGCTTTACTTACTCATTTCTTCCTTGTTCGACTCAAAGCCTTTGACGTTCCTCTGGAGCCAGGCCCCGGCCTGGGTGCTGGGGCAGGGAGGGGACACATCACTCCTCTTGGGGTGCCAGGAAACACAGATGAGAAGACAGGGGAGTCTGGGCAGTGTGGGGACAAGAGAGGGGGCTGCACATGTTCCAGGGGGCCAGGGCAGCAGCCCGGATGCAACATCCATGCTGGCTTCGAGGGCTGACCACGGAAAAGCATGCTCCACGCCTGAAGGCCGAGGTGGAGACTTCAGGGGCATGCCGGGAAAGGAGGCTGGAGGGCGAGGCCACGGATGCTTGCCTTGATTGAGTGTGTTGGGCCCCTGTCACTTCCAGGGCCCAGCACGGGCTGCCAGACAGAGAGTCCAGAGTTTGGAACCAGAGAAAAATGGTCCACATCCCAGCTCTGCCACTTCCTAGCTGTGTAGCCTTGAGCTGTTTGCTGGGCTCCTCTGAGCCTCGGTTTTCCTCTCCACAAAGTCAAGGGTTGTTGTGAAAGCTGGACCACACAGTCTGTGCGCAGGGCCCTGTCCACATCTGTCGTGAGAGAAAGGCTCGGGGGGCTTGAAGCAGGTGGGTGGCCTGCCTGGGTTTGCTCAGAGTACAACAGTGGGGTGGGGGCGGGGGTGGGGTGCCTGGAGCTGATGACAGACCCCCCTTGTGGTTCTCCCAGGAATGATTTTATCTATTCAGTGCGGGCAGGGAGCCCAAGGATTGACCAGATATCTCAGACTACCGCCGACGTTCCGGCACTCCAGGTCATCGTGAACGAGAGGTACCGGTCTCATCGGTACTGGTCCTGGGTGGGCCAGGCCAACAACATTGCCCTTGTCAAGCTTGCATGGGCACTCAAGTACAACACGTACGTCTGGCCCATCTGCCTGCCTAACTTGGACTTCCAGGTGAAGGATCACTCTGTCTGCACTGTGACAGGCTGGGGACTCCCCAGGGTTGATGGTGAGTCAGAGCCTCCCCAGACTGGGTGGGTGGGGAGCGTGTGGGAGAGGACCCAGGTGCAGGCCCGGGTCTGAGACATCTTCTTGTCCGGCTCTCACCTCCTTCCCCTTGGGGGTCTCGGCAGTGAGTGAGCCGTGGCCGTTCAGGCCTTAGAGGCCCCAGAGTGCCCATGAACCCCCCGCCCCAGGCCGGGGCATGTAAACAGGACTTCCTTGAAGGCAGAGGGAGTGGAGAGTAATATCTTGCTGACTGCACGCAGTCGTAGGACATCAGGACTTGAAGCAGGACATCTTGAAGTGCCATGAACGAGGTTCTGTAAAAAGATCCCCTGACGCCTCACATGGTTGGTTAAGGGCAGTCCGCACCCAAAGGCTGGGAGTCACTCAGAATCCACGTGTGGCTGCCTCCTGCCCCCAGTGGGCCTCAATCCCTTTGTCCCCCCAAGGGATGGAGCAAGGCCCGAAGAGCAGCCTGTCATCCCAGGCCCCCCCAGGGGGCATTTCTTTAGGAGTCTGACGAGTGCCCAGTCCATTTAGGGAGCTCCTCTTTTTCACAAGAGAGGTGCTCTTGTCTGTGGCTTCACCGAGCCATCTTGCCTAAAAAGAGCAGCTCCACCCTGGGGGTGGGGGTGGCTGTTTGTCTTTCCTGCCTGTGGCCGGTCTGGGGAACGGCTGGGGATGGTTGGAAATCTGTCCCCCAGGGGCTCCTGGCTAGAGACAAAGACACACTGGTGAGAGGGAGGAGGGGGAGGAGGAGGAGGAGAGAGAGAAGCACACAGTGCCTGGGGCCCACAGAGGGGGGTCTGGGCTAGTGAGGGCAGAAGAGGCCTTTGGGGAGGGCTTGAGCAAAGCGGAGAGTTGGACCGGCATGGGGCCGGGCAGGCCTTGGGAGCAGAAGGGTCAGAAGCCAAGCCGCTGAGGCAGGAACGGACCCCGCGGACTGGACTCTGCCGGGGTGAGAGCAGACCCAGCAAGGCCAGACTGAGGGCAGCCTGTTCCAAGCTGTCCATGGGGGGCCATTTGAGAGGTTGGTGGAGCGGCCAGGAGCAGGGAGGAGGGCCGCCAGGCTTGCAGCCGTGAGAGCACCAAGCCTGAGCTGGGGGGGACCTGCCCCACAGGCATGTGGCCCCAGTTCCGGACCATTCAGGAGAAGGAGGTCACCATCCTGAGCAACAAAAAATGCAACCAGTTCTACCACAAGTTTTCCAAAGTCCCCTCTATGGTCCAGATCGTGGACTCCCAGATGGTTTGTGCCGAGGACTCCGACAGGGAACACTTCTGCTATGTGAGTGCTCCTCTTCGTGCTCCCTCACCTCCAAGGGTGCATGGCCAGGAGGGGTGCTGGGGTGCAGGGCAGCGGGGCTGGAAGGGGAAGGGACAGGAGCACGGAGGGAGGGGTGAGAGAGAAGGGGGGGCGGTGGGAAGACGGGGGGTCGGGACCTGGCATGAGAGAGGGGAGATGAACCCCTCTGAGGGAGGGTCTCCTGAGTCTGGATCTCGAGGGCACCCCCCGGGCAGGGTGGTGGGGAGCTGTGGGAGAGATGTGCTGCGAGGTCCCTGCTTGTCCTTGAGCTGGGGCAGGTCTCCCTCCAGCCACACCTGGCTCCCCTGACCCTTTTTGTTCCGCCACCCCTCCCCACAGGAGATAAGCGGTGAGCCCCTGGTCTGTCCTGTGGACACCACGTGGTACCTGGTGGGACTGGTGAGCTGGGGCCCAGGTTGCGAAAAGAGCAAGGCCCCGCCCATCTACCTACAGGTCACCTCCTACCGTCACTGGATCTGGGAACGCGTCAATGGGCAGGCCCTGCCAGCCCCGTCCAGGGCCCTGCTCCTGGTGCTAGCGCTGCCCCTCAGCCTCCTCGTTGCCCTCTGACACCCTCGTGCCGTCCCCGGGGGGGTGCCGTCCTCCCCCTCTGAGCCCAGAATGCTGCAGGTGTAGCTCTCCCAGCCCCACAAAGTGGGGCAGAGATGAGCTGCTCAATTAAACGCTTTTCTTCCACAAGCCTCCTCCTTCCTGGGTGCGCTCGAGTGGGAGGTGAGCAAGCCACACGGGGGTTTCATGGGGGGACTCCAGACCGTCTCTATTGAAAAGCGCAGAGCCCCCCCCCCCCCCGGGTCTGCCTCCATCTCTAGGTTTGGGGTGGCTCTTGCAGAAGGTGGGAGTGTATAGGGACGATGCTGGGGTGATGGATGGCCTAGAGTGTTCTGTCCGGGCTCAAGCTGGGCTGCCAGGACGCAGAGTGAGGCTGGGGTAAAGGTGCAGCTCTGTCTGGGCCCCGCAGGTGAGTGTGTTCTTTTCTGTGATACTTTGCTTGACTTTGGTGGCTGGAACACACCCTGTCATTGTCCTGAAGCACCATAGTGAACTCTGATCGTCCGGCCCCGCCCCCTGCCTAGAGACTGGGGCAGGTGCCCACTGGGACCAGACATTATCCGCCAGCAGCCATGCCTGTCCATAAAAGAGCAGCGGACGCCCCGGGGCAGAGGCCAGGGAGCAGCTGGCAGGGCAGATGGAGCTCAGGCCTGGACCCCCGAGGCTTTACCAGCTGGTTCTCTGTTTGACTTCAAGTGGCCCCTGCTCCTCTGGGCCTCTGTTGCCTGGGCCACACAGGAGGGCCCTGGCCTGTATGGGTCTAATGACCTTTGCCACAGCCTGAACCTGCTGTATGAGAAGCCCGTAAGGCTGGACCCTGAGGGCAGAGTCAGGGTTCCTTCCTGGCGGACTGAGCTCTCAGCGCCCACAGCGGGTCCTCTGCAATTTCTCTGCCCCCTTGCTGCTCCGTGACTCGTGTCTGCCTGTAGACTCGCATCTTCTTGTAGAACAGTGATCCAGCTGTAGGTCAGAATCCAGATTTGACTCCTCCGTGTCCCCAGCACAAGGCTCAGGCCACGGAAGGCCTACTGAAAGCCACAAAGTGGAGGGGAGGGGAGCGGAGAGTGGGCGGCTTCCTCCTCCATTTTAACGCCCAGCTGGCTGCGGCTGTCCCTCTGCCTCTCTCGGCCGCCACCTCTCCCTCCAGCTCATCCTAACTCAGGCTGGGAGAATAGGGGAGGGAGCTTCAGCTTGGCCGGTGCCACCCGTCACTGCCACGTCACCCTGCACATAAATGCTTCAGGGATAGGGCGTCCTGAGGGGTCATCTCAGGTCACTCGGGTACGAGAAGGCACTCAGCTTTATTTACAAGTGTCTGTAGGCTGCCGAGGCAGCGAGAGATTTTCCAGCAGCTTCCCCAGCTCAGGAGCCTCTGGTTTGCAGGCTCAGACCTGAGCGCCTCAGCAGAGGTTCGCTGCCATCTGGAAACCCCTCTGAGTGTCCCGTCCCCAAAGATTCAGTCTCTAGGTGGTATTTGGGCCTTCCCCTTCGGGACAGCAGTGATGTTTTGAGGCATGAGAGCTGAGATGGTAGAGGAGGAAGCTGTGTGCTGTTCTGTTTCACAAGCGGGGGGGTGGCCGGCCCCTAACTGCCCTCTGCGATGATCCCCTAGGGCCCTGACACCCCCTCCCCACCGCCACCACAGAGAAGGGACCGCCAGCACGGCCCAAGCCTCCCCTGGGCTTCTTGATTCCCTGGATCCCCAAGATGGGGCCCAAGTACCAGCTTTCTTCCCCTCTCCCTTTGGCCTGCTGGTCTCAGCCTTCTGCACCCCTGACCCAGCCCTGCAGCTCCCAGCCCTGAGCCCCCAGGCCTTCCGCTCAGGCCCCCAGCAGCCTCCACTCCATCGCAGTTGCTCGGCATAGGGTATCTGCTGGGCTGGAGCCCCTGCCTCTGGGCCTCTCTGTTCACCATCCTGGCCAGCACCCCCACGGGGCCTAGAACAGTTTTCTGGCCACCAGGGCTGCTGTCTAGCCAGGTCTGAGAGCTGAAGCTTCCCCCAGACACCCTCTGCCTCCTTGTGGCTGTTCTGGGCATGGCCTCACACTGCAGCCCATCCAGTTTGGCCATCCCCTTCGGAGAGAGGAAACTGCTTCCCGTCAACCCTGTAGAGCCACTGCTGTTCCTGACGGAAGGGACAGAGGCACGTCCGGGTGGGTGTGATCTGGATCTGCAGGGCAACAGTGGCCAGAGGCCACGTTGGCTGAACAGCCACATGGGTGAGGCGACAGGAGCTGAGTCCGTGCCGGGAGGCAGGACACCTGAGGCAGTCCTGTCTCTGCCCCTGACGGGCCGTAACGATGGGGCCTCAGCCACCCTGTCGGGGCTGAGAAGAGGGTGTTCTGCAACCTCTGTGGTCCACGTGTGAGCTTGGAGTCCGAGATGCCTGGACCCTGGCCTGGACTTGAGCCCCAGGGCTATCCAGCCCCAGCTGCCACCTCCAGGAAGCCCTTCTCATTTTTCTCCTTTCTTCTTCTTGGCCTCATTCTTTTCATCCTCCTCTACCTTGATGGCCACTGTGTCCACACTATCCTTCTTCTTCTTCTTCTTATCCTCTGTGGGGTAGAGGAAAGGCAGGTAGCGGGAGTGAGGCAGGGTCCTAGGGCCCCCACCAGAGCCTCCCACATCCAGCCCTTCACTTCTTCCTTCCTACCGAACTTCTCCTGCCTGCAGAAGAGCTCCGGATGTTACTTGCCTCTGGGTCTCTCTCACTTGGGCCCATTTCTGTGCTCTGGTCTCCAGGGACAGGTTTGGGGCAGAGGCGGGGAGCAGGGCCACTCTTGGTGGCAGGACTGAGGGTCTGGCTGGCTCGGCAGGGACAGGCGGTGGTGCAGCTGGGGGCCCCTCCCCGGTCTGCTCACCTCCGGGGATTTCTGTGAGCTCGTTGAGGGGCGGCACAGTCTCCAGTTTGTCCGTGTACATCTTGGCTGCCTTTCGCTGCAGGTACCGGGCTTCGATCTCCTTCCGGGTCCGTGGCACACGGCAGTTGAAGACACAGCACAGAGTGATAACTGTAGGGACGACAGAGCAGGCCTGGCCGAGGCTGGAGCTCAGACACCCCAGGAATGGTGCCCACATTGCAGACCTGCCTTCATCTACCTAAATGTGTCTCACCCAAGAGACTCTGGCAGAAGGCTCTGTGTTTGGACAGAACCCCTGTGGGCTCTGGGATTTCCGAGGTCAGCTCAGCAATTTCCAGAGCAGGACTGGCTTCACACGGGGGCCCGCTCTTGGAAGGGCCTCGCGCTTGGCTTAATGCTCTGCCGTCAATGTTCTTAGCAATTTGTGAACAAGGGGTCTCATACTTTCGTTTTGCCCTGGATCCTAAATCATGTCACTGGTCTCAGTTTCTGACTCGATTGAGGCCCCTGGAGGGCAGGGCAGAGGACTGCACGGTGACTCACGCTACAGCTACCTGGAGGCTGTCCTGTGTTCCCACCCAGGTCTCTCAGCTCCTAGTAATTCCTAGGTTTTCCTCCCCAGGCTCCTGAGAGGACCTCAGACACTGGAGGACGTAGCTGTGTCCTCCTCAACCCCCCTGAGGACAAGCCTGAGCTCCTCTTGGCCGTGAGAGCCCACGAGAGCCCACGAGAGGGTACAGACCCTGCCCTGGGGCGTTCACCTCCCACAGTTATTCCAGGAGCGGTTTTCCGGCTCAGGGCAGCTGTGCCCACACGAGCTGGGCCAGGGAACGAAGCTGGACTGTCTAGTGATGGGCAGGGCAGTGCTGGGCTGCCAGGGCCCGGCTGGACTGAGTTTATTTTTCTAAGGCCCCACAGTCTGACCACCTTGGCCCCAGCCTCAGGGGAGGGGACGGGGCTGCTTCCTATTATAAATCAGATGACAAGACATAACTTCCTGGCAGACTCCTGGGGGCAGGACGGCCAAGCGGGACAAGCCAGGCCTATTTTAGGGAAGATGCATCAGACCAACGTAGCCAGGGCTGGAGCACCCTTTGGAGTCAACTGGTGTGACTCTTTCAGCCAAATATCGTGGCCCCGCTAAGTCTCCCCCAGGTTCACAGAATGAAAAACAAGGAAGGAAGGAAGGAAGGAATGCATACATGCATGAGATGGCCTAGAAGCCTTTGCCGCTGAGGACAGAACTAGACTACCGAATGGGTGGGTAGGGGGAGCTAACAGCATCCGGGCACTCTGGGGGGCTGCACGAGGCCCCAGCAGTAGGTCTGTACCTTGCTGTCCAGGGGTAAACGGCAAACCTTTCTTATCCGGAGAGCTGGGTTCTGGTCTTCTCCAGACCCTTGTGTGTAGGCCTATGGCCCTAGTCCTACCGGCTTGGGCCGTCTCTTCCAGCCACCCCACCAGGCACGTCCTCTGACCGTGCTTACTCAGGTTCTCCACAGAGGCTGGTCCCAGGCTCTATGAGGCCTCAGCTTTGAAGGGAGCTCAGCCATTGGCAGCTGGAGCAGGGCCCGCACACCGCCCCTTGCCTGCCCCACCCAGCCTGGCCCAGTCACTTCTCTTCAACGAAGGGAAAAAAACCATGTGTTTTGGATCGAGTCCCAGGGCCCAGGCAGGGGCTTGGAATGTGAGTCCCCAGGCTGGAAGGACCTCCAGAGGCACCCCCACCCAACCCCAGCCCCTCTGCACGAGGTTCTGGGCCCAAGCAGCCGGGAAAGCAGGAAAGAGGTTTCCTCTCCGGGAGATGCCATCCCTACTCCCCAGGGCCCTGCATGGAAGGTAACAAGTGGTGCCCTGCTGCTCAGAAGACTTTGGGACTCTCCCTTACTCTCCCTTCCTCTTTCCTAGGAAGCAGGGTGAGGAGTAGGGGCTGGTCTGCGTGCTTCATGTCCAAGCCCCTCTTCGGGTCTGTCATTGAAACTTTCTTGTGTGGCCCTGGGCACCTCCACTGTCCGGGGCCCAGCAGAGTCTGGAGAGGCCGTTCTGTGTTTAGAGGCCCCTCAGTGCCTTCACCCCTGCTCCGTGGAGTGCCCCGGAGCTGCTCCCTGGACACGCACCCTGAACTGCTCCTTATGGGCAGATGCTCTTGGTGCTGCGGGCTGGGGGGCACGGTTTCCTCTCTGAGCACCTGGGCTGGGGCTGTAGCCACAACGGTGCGTCAGTAGGGCCTCCAGAGAGATGCCTGACTGATTCTCACCTTGGCTAGGAATGAAATGCAGCCCCTTGCTCAGATCCTGCTCCCACCCCAGCCATGAAGAAATGGTGGTGGGGGTGTGCGTGGAGACTTTCCCACAAGGAGGGCCTTTCTGGTGCCAGGAGAAACAGATGCAAATCAGATGTCCCTGTCTCCCTCGGAGTCCTCACATCTGGGTGGGCCCTCTGCTGTGGCGCTGCCCTCCAGGGGACCTCATCCTGAGCCAGCTCCAGCTCGAACTTATCCGACTTGGGGGGCACACAGTAAAAGTCCTCTAGGGGTCACCTGAGACCTTGTGTGGAGGCCATTCCGTCCCTGCTCTGCCCGCACCATGCCCTCTGCCTGGAATTCTTGGGGGGCAGCCTACCCAGCCAAACTGCATGCGTCCCTGCACGCATCCGCAGTGGAGAGGACCCTCCTCCGTGAAGCTTGTGCAGGGCGAGGGGGTTTTCTGTCCCTTCGTTGCCTGCGTCTCCCCCAAACCTCTGACGTGTAGGAACCTTCGTCAGACTCTGCTTTGCACCCTGGTGGTCTCCCTATCCACCGACATTTCTCTGCCCTCTTTCTCCAACTCCAGACCCCTGCTCTGGAAGGGCCAAAGGGGGCACGCCAAGCCCATCTCTGTTGCGAGCTGGAGTCAAGCAACTCAGTCCTAGGAGAGGAAGAGGTCCCTTGCTCTTAACGGAGGCGGGTGTGAGTGGTTCCAGGGGGACGGGATCTGACAAGGCAGGGTTTGCAGCCTGGGAGCCACATCTGCCGGGTGTCTGGGGAGCCTCCAGGCTGGGCTGCGGCCAAGGATGGCCTTGCTGGGGCTTCTGGGTGTGGGCCCTTTAAGCCTGGCCAAACAGCAGGAGAAGCATCAGGAGGCCAGCGATAGGGAAAAATGACACGTCCTCATCCTGGTTCAGTGGAGTCCCCTGTAATTACTGTAATTGCCATGTGGCTGTGTCCCAGTTGGGCAGAATACTTCAGGTCACCACCAGCCTGTCAGCCCTCCACAGGGACTTTGTGTAGATCAGGAGGTGCCAGAAACCACAGTGGGCCTCCTGCGGGCGACTGGCCTGCTTGTACTGCCCGGAATTGCTGCTCTGAGCCCCTGGGGGTGGTGCCGGGGGCGGGGTGCAGGGGGTGGCGTGGGGTGGTAGAGGGCGGGGAGCAGCTACTCACTGATGGACAACACGAAGAGCGAGAAGATGCCCACCACGTGCCAGAGGCGCATGTCCCAGAACACCACGGTCTCCTTGGTCAATGGGGGCGGCTTGGGCTTGGGCGGGGCCGTGCTGGGCTGCAGGTCAGGAGAGAGAAGAATGAGCCAGGCAGAGGCCGGGGGCTGGGGCTGGGCCGAGAGAGGCCCAGGTTTCAGCAAGGACTCAGCGCAAGTGTTTCGGAATCTCCTAGAATCTAGAGTCTTCGACATTCACAGTCAACGTCCTAGACCTTGGGAAGTTCCAGATTTAGAGCAAGGGAAGAAAGCAGCTCCAGAACCATGGAGCCAGGGACCTGGAATACAAGGGTACTTGGGATGCTTGAGGACACCAAGGCCTGAAGGGGCAAAGGTGGATGGCTTGTCCCAATGAGGTTCAAGGCCCCTTCCGGCAGCCTGCTGGTCTCCTCCTGCTCCAGTCCTGGGCCCCACAGGCAGATGGGGTCTCAGGACCAAGGCCAGAGACAAGGCAAGGCCTGTGCTGCCCTGGGGGACTTTGCTCTCAAGCACCCTCGGTGTGGGGTGGGTTGTGGAGCTGGACTCAGGGCCCGTGGCTCGGCTGTCTGGCCAGGACCCCCACCAGGTGACCTCAACAGTCACCCATCCTGCCAGAGTCACCTCTTCTGACCAGAAGGATAGGCCAGAGTCTCCTGGGACAGGACCAGATAAATTGTCTGCAATGAGGCAGCGACACCTAGAGGCCGAAAGCTATAAGCATGACTGGAACAAGCCTGTGCAGAGCTTAGCAGGCCACCTCCCACCTTCCCAGTGGGACACAGCCCTGCCCTGGGTGTCTAGGGACACGGCCCTGCCCTGGGGTACTGAGGGGACACAGCCCTGCCCTGGGGGTCTAGGGGAACAAGGCTCTGCCCTGGGGGACATAGCCCTGTCCTAGTGGGTCTAGGCAGGACCTCTCCCTGACCTAAGGGGCCGAGAGGGATATGACCCTATCTCTGTCACCAAGTTTGGCTGAGGGATGGAGGGGGAGGCGGTTAGCGTTTAGAGGGAGAGAGGACCCTGGGGCATCTGTGGAATTCATTGTCTCCTGATTAACTGAATATGGACCGACCTGAGGAGTCCTTTCTGGCTCTCTGGGAAGGAAAGGCAACTCACAACTCAACCATCCGTCCAGTCTTTCCCCTGGTACATGAGCATGGATTGGCACCTACCACAAGTTCCTCATCTAATGAACACCACCCTTCGGCATGTTTGGGGACACTCAGAGAGGATCAGCAACCTGTCCCAGGTAACACAGGGCATCTCTGTGCTTGGGACTGATACATGATTCCTCAGCTTTTTTCTCTTAACCAGGGTAAACTGGGGTGGGAGTTTCCTTTCCTCTAGGCCTCAGTTTCTCCATCTGTAACTTAAACGTGGGGTGGTTCCAAGGTTCTCTGGGAAGCTCTCTCTACCCAAGTAGAGTGGGAAAATTGACAAGAAGATAACCCTCCTCAGCATCCTCCCAGGGGCCTGGATCCGTTTGCAGGGTCAGACACATGTGTGTGGGGTCAGGCACATCTGGGGGTTCAGGGCACATGTGTGTGGGTTGGAGCGCATAGGGTTTGGGCACATAGTTGTGGGTACGGGGCACACGTGTGGTTGGAGTACGAGCGTGTGGTCAGACATATGTCTGTAGAGTCAGGGCCGGGGTCCTAAGGCTCAGTGTGTCTGGCCTGGCTGGGCTGTGTGGCTGGAAGACTCCGAGGTCCAGAGAAGAGATCTTGGATTCTGAGCCCGGGGAAGCTGAGAGCCCACTTCTGACACCTTGTTCCAGCCTTGTTCTGGGTGGAACTGAGCTTACGATCTCTCCCTGATAGGGATCTCAGGTAGAGGGTAACACGTAAGAGTGGGGCACCTCCTCGTGGTGGGCACTGCTGGGGGGTCTGAACTCTAAAGCTTGGGAGCTCCGGCCTCCATCAGATGGAGGATGATGGCTGTAGGGATCGTGGTGGGTGGTACCATGGACTCAGCCCTCCCCATCTCTCTGGTGCTTCCCTGGGTCCCCTGGGCTCAGCCAGGCCCTTGCTCAGGCTGTAGGCAGATGGCAGGCAGATGGACTCCAAATGCAATTTTCCTTGATGAGCCGGGAGAAGATGTGCTCCTGGGGGCTGAGGGGAAGAGTCCTTGGCTCAGAAGTGATGCAACACCCACCCTCAGTCTTCTGCCACACCCAGGCCAGCTCAGCTCTGCACCGGAGGCCTCAGGGCAGCCACTAAGGGGCCCAGGTACACTCTGCGGGGCCCAAGCCAGCCTGGCTCCCCTTACAGGGACACTGGAGCTGACATCCGACTCCAGCCCAGCATTTTGATCACACCCCCTGGTCTGCAGCAGGGACAGGCTAGTATCGGGGTATAGGGCTCTGTCTTCATGTCCCTCGGACCCTCAGGTTCAGGGCTGTGCCTTCTTAGACCCTCAGGATAAGGCTCTGTCCTCCCTCTCCATCCTGTCTCCTGGCACCTGCCCCCGAGGGCTCTCCTGGGCACCTTGCTGACTCCTGTCTTTCTGTCTTTCTGGCCTCTCCTCTCTGCTTCTGCCTGCACAGGCTCTAACCCCCACCCCTCCCTGGCCCTGCCTCTTGGGCCTTCTCCCTCCGGCCTCGTGTTTCAGAATTCTGGGTCTGGTCTGCCTCTTTGGCTCCCCTGCTCAGCTCAGCAAGAATGGGGTACGGAGGGGCCAGGGAGGCTGCAGGTGGCCCCGACTCTTGCCTTCCCCGCCCTGCCTGGCCCCAGCTGAGCTCCCGAACCCCCCCGGGCTGTCCTCCTTCCCTTTTGCTGGGC